CTTCCAACCTGAGGGGCTCATCTTCCGGCGTCATATCTTTTAACCTTTTGATACTGTCCATGGGGTTTTCTTGGCAAAAATACTGGAGTGGGTTGCCATTACCTTCTCAAGGGGATCACTCTTGGTCTGAGTTCTCTGCTGTGGGCTGTCCGTCTTGGATGGCCCTTCACGGCATAGCCCACAGCTTCATCGAACCACGCAAGGGGGTACTGTGCTTTACATAAGATTAAATGGGGTTACTCTTATGTAAAGAAAGCAGAGTGGACGAGGCTGCTGAAATGCTCCAACACATGTGCAAAAAAAAAAAAAACCCACCACAAAAAAACCCCAACCTGAAACAGATGGAACTCCTGGCGGGAAGTCTGAACAGATCGTACTGATGGCACAATCATCAGAAGCAGCACAACGTGCATGAAAACGCAGCTGCAGTCTGGAAACACCTTTATACAACTATTAGTTGTATTTAAGTTTCTACCCTTCAGCTGGATTGCCAAAAGTGTGTCAAATCTATGTGGAGAGATCACTTTTTGATTAACTGCAGAGTCAGCTTTACAGCTTGTCTGGACTGTGCTGAGCTGGCTCTGCGCTATGATTCATAATACCTGAGAATCCTCCATGGCTTCAGTCTCCATTATCATGTACTCTGTGTGTGAGGTAGATGTCCTATACTGAATGCTTATACCCGGTGTTGATCCAGAGAGACAGAACAAGGGATTTGAGTTGTGTACTGAATCTCTGTCTGAAGTGTTGAAAGTGGCCTTGCACATAGTGGTAGTTCTCTCTGTGTCTAGCAAGGCCAATACGTGTCAGGGCATCAGATTGTGTTTCCTGTGCCATGTGGTTGAATGGTGCTGTGCAGGTGAAGATATAATGACAAGTCCATTGATATAAACAAATTAGGACCTGGTCTGTGCAGTAGCTATACCTGAATTTTTTTTTTATTGATGTTTCACACTGACTATCTGATAGATAATATTTCTCTCAAAAGAAACTTGACAGGAAAAAGGAACATTTCATGGAATTAAATTGTGGCTAGAGCTATGCTGCCCCCTTTTGGCAGCCAGGAAGAAGTGCAGTGATAAGTTTCATGAATAAAAGCAGTCATCCTCATTTTAAAAAATGCATTGACTTTTGTCTGATTTCACTAAAGCACAGACCCCACTTCAGGGCTCTGTTTTTAAAATTAGGGGTTAAAACTAAGGTTTGAATAGTAAGGTTTGTTCCCCATGGCTGTGAAAAATTGGGTCCCCGAGTTCCTCCTGGCTAGATGCAAACTGAAAAAATGTAGAAAAGCAGATGCAAGGTGGTGGGGGGGGGGAATATACAGTACTTATAGATCCCACACGTTTCACAATTCGCTTTGTCATGGAATTGTTTCCACTTTCCAGCTTGAACAGTAGATGCAAACTAACGATGTACTAGTCTGAAGGCAAGTTATTGGGATACCATGTTGTTAAGGTAAAGGTTCCCTTGCTCGAAAGCCAGTCGAATCTGACTCTAGGGTTGCGGTGCTCATCTCCGTTTCAAAGCCGAAGAGCCAGCGCTGTCCGAAGACATTTCCGTGGTCATGTGGCTGGTATGACTAAACACCAAGGCGCACGGAACGCTGTTGTTACAGCAGAAGAAAAAATATGGAGGGACTGAAAAAGATTCTACTAAAACATAATTCAAGGCATTTTATAAAACAATGGACAATCCCAACATGTAGATATTTAACAGCATGGGAGAGAAAAATTCAGCAATATAGAATTCATTCTCTCTCTCTCTCTCTCTCTCCCCCCCCCCCCAAAACAAAGGGAGACCTTGGCCC